TCACATCCAGTCAATGTGCCCAAGACATTTGGTTTCAAGTCTGTGACGTGGTCTCAACATCGGTGCATATGATATGCTATGTACATGTCGCCCAATACCAGCAATATCTACAACGCGGCCGCCGCGCTGCCGGATTTCAGGAGGCGGCTAAGCGTGAATTCATCATTCCCCAGACTCCCACCCCACCTGACGGCCCTGCTCTCCCTGCCCAGGACCGGATGACCACTACAACCATAGGAGAGAAATCTTTTTCCTTCCCCTCCCCAACGACACATTTCTATAATACACATTTCATTTCTCTCCTCGTTATGTAAAGTGGCGTATCCTCCGGATAGGCAGCCCGCATGAGAATGAAGCCGGCAGGTCGAGGAAACGTCTATCGTTCATCAGGAGCCAGATATACAAGATGCAGGTTGACCCGAGGATAGGGGTGACTCATATCCCCCATGCTTCCGCCGGTTGAGTCATATGGAGGACATAGAGACGAAAAGAGAGAGAGAGAGAGAGAGACAGAGCGAGCACGAGTGCTCGTGCCTGTCGGCAGCCAAGCAGACGAGGTTGGCATTAAATTAGGCGGTTGATATGAGCGCAGCGGAGCGGAGCTGGACAATATAGATTGGTGGATGTAGAACCAGTCGGCCTCATGTCGTTCTGCCTGTTAATATGACGGCGTCATTTAAAAAGGGATGTTGGGAGGGGGCTGAGCGGCCAAGGCGTCCTGCTGCTCCTGGAGCTCCTCGCCACCGGCCTCGATGGAAATACCGACACCAATCTTTGCTTGTTGCTATTGAAAGGGTTAACTACTAAGAGTTTCTAGGTGTGGGGGCGCGTCTCTTACCGTGAAGTGGTCCACATCGGCAGCGAAGGTCATCATGACAGGGGCCGCAACCCGCTTCTCGAGCAGGCAGCTTAGTTTGCCCGCGGTGTCGATCTGGGCACGGAAAGTCGACATCCTAAAATCGTACTTTGCACCGAAAGTAGTGATGCCCTCCTTGGCAAGGCCACCCATCATGGCACCGCTCGGAGCGACGGAAAGCGTCATGTCAACACCGGCCTGGACCTTCTCCGACAAGCGCTGCCAGTAGGAAGCATTGAGTGCACCTTGGGCCTGCAGCTGAGCGCTGGCGATGAAATTGTCCGCCTTGTACCGAGCAACGTAGGAAATAGCAGTATCCGGGCCTTGGGTAAGACCGGCACGCTGCCAAACAGCCTCCAGACCAAGAGCGAGCTTGGGTGTGACGGACTGCAGGTATTGGCCGATGAAGATGCCAGTCAAGCCGCCCTCAAGACATGAGGGGTTGAGGGCCTTCAGGGTGGCAGTGAAATCGTTGCCGAGATACTCGTTCTCAAACTGGGCCATGTCTTGGCCGGTGCCGCCGGGGGCGATCTGGAAGCGGGACTTGGTGATGAAAGCATTGCTCCACCTCCAGTTGAATGACGCTGAGAGGGCACCTTGATCGTCGACGTTTCCTTGCGCGAACATCTATGTCCTATTAGAACAGACCTAGGGGTGATGTTGAGGTCGCATACCTTGCTGGTGCCGTAGAGAGCGGCAAATGTGTACGGACTCAACCTCTCGCCCATGGCGAACTGGTGGGATACTTGAAATCTTGACTTCAATCAGCACCGCGCGACGGCCAAGAGCGTCAACGGCAGCGATTGTGGGGATCCCCAATCTGAAGCCATGGCTGAAGCACCGCGAGTTTGCGAACGACATACAAGGGGTTGAAGCTGAAAGCTTTTGTGAGGTCAGCCCGGAGGCCGGAGAACATCAAGTTCGTGGTGAGAACATCGCGCTGGACCTCTGCATAACCCGTCAGTGGTGTCCAAGAATCCCTATCGCCCGGAAGCAAGTGGCGGCGGGTAGGTGCCCCCAAGGCGTAATTTGATTCCAAGGCTGTGACGTACCCTTGGCGATATTCTCGACCATGCCGGGATTCGAGAGCCCCAACCGTTCCCTCCTTTCTTGAAAGGCATTGTAGACATCTGAAAGACCGGAGAATACGGGGTTCTTGCGTAGAAACGCAAGCGGCGCATCGGAGGTGGACGCCATGGCGGTGGTGACAGCAGTCGGGTCGCCGCGGCCGCGAAAGTCGATTTTGTGCCTTGTCGGACCGGATTCGACGGAGTGGTTTCGGACCTGGGGATTGAACCAATGATCAAAAGGCCCAATACTACTTTCTGTCCTGGATAAGGTTGATCGTCGTGGTCGAGGAGGTGGCTCTCAATGTCGGAGACACTTGAGCCGGCGCTGGTGTTTCGCTGCTCCGGAGAATCGCTCTTTGAAAGAGTAGTCCAAAAATTTCGAGGTCTCAGACAGAGCCAGCCCAGTTTGTTGGCCTGTGCACTGTGGGGGGAATCCCGCTGCCAAGAAATGCCAGGCTTGTCGTCCCACGCCCAGCGCCAGCGACCCACGACCTACCAGAAATGGAACTCACTACCTAGGCGGATCGGAGAAATCAAGCACCGACAATTGCCGCGGTTCATCCCGGCCCGGCCCTCTTTCATTCAGTTATTGGCACAGCTATGAGTTAACAAAAAGAAGCAGAGCACCATCAACTCATCAACAAATGAGATGTTGTGAATGAGTACATAACAGGTAGTGCTTAAAAGCTGTATCATTCGCCCTAACTGTACGAAGTAGAATCCTTGGTGCCTTCCTTCCTTATTGCAATGGGTGTCCCAGGAAGGAAACGACATGTCTGCGAGGAATGCCATAAACAGGGCAAAGTTACGAATACCGGCGGGTGCATGCATGGGGCAACCGGAGCTCTGCCCGACCCAACCCGAGCTCCCTTGCCCGTTTTCCAAATCTCACGCATGACACAACGTGACAACCATTGAGAGCATCCTGCATTTCCAAGAGCTATTCCTGTGCTTCATCCTCACCTAACAAGCATTTAGATCAGCAGCCCTTGCCTCCTTGGTCACGAGACTCATCGAATTTGTTCGGGTTCTGTCCGGCTGAGAGTGGGGCCCCTGATAAGTGTGTGTCATTGCCAGAGTGAGCTTGGGCATTTCTACCACCTAAGGTAGGTACTTACTTCTTGACCTACTCGCCACCTTTTGAGGTTTTATTCGGGCATACATCCTCGGTAGCATTTCTCTCACACTTGGGAACCATACTGATATCACATATCACAAAGGACAAGTACCTAATTATTGCGGCCCCTGCACTTGTTTGGTTCCGCTTTTCTCTACTCAGCTCCCTGTGCAGCCAAGAAAGCCATCCATCTTTGTGCCTGCTTTATAGGGACGGGCTTGTCCTTCGTACCTCAGCTTCTCGGCGTGGGGTTAGGTGGTGATACGAAATTACCTCGAGATCTCGACCACTTCTGCTGTGGCCATTGAACCTGCAACTTGTTTAGAGTCGACATTGCAAACATGGATACCCTCCTGTAAGCCCTCGCCATCGCTGTTGACCCCCCGGATGTGATAGAATATACGGAATATATTGAGAGATATCTCGTCGCTGACTGTTGCAGTACCGCTAAAATTGCGGTGAACGCCCCTCGTTACCGCCGCAAAAGCTCAACCTTCATCGACGGCATCCATGACGTCCACGACGATGAAGGTAACTTGGCGCCGGCGCAGTTGTACAGCACCATGTCTGGCAGGTTGTTCCACTCTGGAAGAATCGCCATCATCATGGTCGGCCTCCCTGCCCGCGGAAAGACGTAGGAAGACCTTGGATAGCCCAATTCTAGGACTGAACTAACGAAATCATAGTCACATCTGTGTCTCAATGGCTCGCTATCTTTCTTGGTAGATATAACCGCTCCCTCTGCACATGGTGATACTCACGCGTTGCAGGCTTGGGGTGAAAACTCGGATATTCCACCTTGGAGATTATCGCCGGGCGACGGTTGAGGGAGGCCATGTTCCGCAGGATTATTTCTATCCCAACGCATCTCCGGCTTCGGTCATGCTCCGTCAGAAAATCCTCAAGAAGTGCAGGGATGACATCTATGCTTGGTTGAACCACGAGAACGGACAGGTCGCCATTTATGACGCCGTGAACCCGACTGCCAGCGGCCGCAGGGTCCTAGCCGAAGAATTTGCGAAGAACGACGTTCAGGTGAGACCCTCGTTGGGTGTGCCACTTTCAGGGTATGCTTACTGACAGATGACTCGTAGACGCTCTTCATCGAGTCCTTTGTCGACGACCAAGAGATCCTGAAGGAGAATGCCCGCAATGTCAAAATCTCATCTCCCGATGTAAGTAACTGTGGTAAACAGAACGTGTCAAAATTCGAGTACTGACGTGCCAAGTTCCACGGAATGGACCCCGATGAGGCGGCCAAGCACTACCTCAAACGTATTGAGACCAAGATCCCGGTGTTCGAAACCATGGATGAGGACGAATTGAATTACGTCAAGATGATCAACGCTGGCCAGGCGTTTTACTACAACAACGTCAGCTTCAACTACCTGTCTCACAGAATCGTCTTCTATTTGACCAATCTGCACATAAAGTGCCGCACGACCTTTTTCGTCCGCGCCGGCCCCGCGACAGACGAAGATTCGTATAAGGCCGATGCTCCGCTGTCCGAGGAAGGCAAGATCTATGCGGAGAAGATGACGGAGACTCTCCTCCGGCACCGGGAGCAGGAACGCCAGGCATCCATTGACCAGGACGGCCCTGATCTGCCGCTACGACCCCTGACCGTGTGGACATCCACCCGGCTGCGCACCGTTCAGACAGGTGAGCCGCTGAAAGAGAGGGGATACAAGGTCAGGCAACGGTCTCAGATGAGCCAGATCAACCCTGGTGTCTGCGAGAAGTTGTCAGAGCGTGCGATCCGCGCCGCGTATCCGGAGGAAGTGGTAAAGCACGAGCTGGACCCCTATCACCACCGGTACCCGCGTGCTGAGGTATGCCGGATTCTCTTCTGTTCGTTGTTCTCCCCAGAAGTTACAATCTAACACAAAACAGTCATACCACGATCTGGCCGTCAGACTTGAACCTATCATCCTAGAGCTAGAGCGCGAGCAGAATGACTTGCTCATCATCGCCCACGAGAGCGTCCTGCGCGTGCTGTACTCGTACTTGATGCACTGCAGCACCAGGGACATTCCCAAGCTGAAGTTCCCACGGGATGAGATTATTGAGATTATCCCGGCGGCATATCAGAATGAGGCGAAGCGCATTCACATCCCTGGCCTCGACCCGAGAACCATTCCGGGTTCGCCGGAGGATATTCGGATTCCTGTGCCTGCCGACCTCAGCGCGCAACTGCCGCCCATCCCGGGTATGGATGAACCGGAGCCGACCGAGCCCGCTGGCTCGCGGCCTCCCGAGAAGATTGTCAACCATGCGAAAGATGTGTTGTCTGACAAGATGGGCGATGAAGATGTGAAGAAGGGGGGAGGTGGTGAGATGGGGGTGCCTCTAGGGAGAGCGAAGGCCACGTAATTCTAGCAGCGGTGGAATTTGCATAGAACGGTTTGTACAACAATGGTACGCTAATGGCTTGATCTCAATGATCCCAATGTCGTTGTCGTGACCCCTACCGTCTATTATAGGCCAACTAGCCCTAACCCTCAGCTGCTGTTTTGAGCTCGATGACGTCCAGGGAGGGTCTTGGCACCCCCGCGAGAGCTCCAAGCTCCCCCGCAGTGGGAATTGGAGCAGTCCCCCACCAACTGGACCCGTTCGGCTTTACTGCTGTGTACTTGTAAACGTAGACGTCCTTACTTCAGACATACCGAATCCCCAATTATGTCGGGTAAAACAGCTCTTGTCACCGGCGCCACAGGCTTCCTCGGCCGGGCAGGTCGTCAAGGCCTTTCCAGAGTCACGACTGGGTCGTCAAAGGTACCGGGCTACTCGGGCGCAGACGGCGTCAACACCCTCAAGGATCGACCACTTCCAACCCCGCCGAGATCGAGAAGGCCCTCGAGGAAGTGAAGTGCGCAACACCCAACCCCATTCCCCTATTTCCACTACTACCCCCGGGACCAGTTCACTGACCAACACCGGCTAGCATACCACAGGTGGTAATCCATTGTACGCTTCCTCCTTCCTCCTTCCCCTCCCATCACCCTTTCTAACAACTCACCCCCACCTTCTCTTTCACCAGGCGCCGCCAACCGCTTCCCCGACAAAGTGGACGCGGACCCGACCGGCACGCGGGCGCTCAACATCGAGGCGTCGCGGGCGCTGGCGCAGCAGTGCGCGGCGCGCGGCGCCCTGCTCGTCTACATCTCGACCGACTATGTCTTTGCGGGCCGCCCCGGCGAGGCCCCCTACGAGGCCGACGTACCGACGGGCCCGACGAATCTGTACGGGCAGACCAAGTTGGATGGGGAGCGGGCGGTGTTGGGGGCGTTTGAAAGTCTGAGTTTGGGGGAGGGGGGTGGGGGTACGGCGGTGGTGCTGCGTGTGCCGGTGTTGTATGGCGAGGTGGAGGCGGGGAGGAATGCGGAGAGCGCGGTGAATTGTCTGATGGATGTTGTGCTGGGGGAAGGGGGGAAGGTTGGGATGGATCATTGGGCGTTGAGGTATCCGACGAATACGGAGGATGTGGCGAGGGTTTGCTACGGTGGGTTGTTTTCTGAGCCCTTACGGAGGATATCTGGGGGTACATTTATTGACGGGGTGTGTGGTGTAGATGTGGCTGTCCGGTATCTGGGCGAAGAGGACAAAGCGTCACTGCCGCGCGTGTTACAGTTCTCGAGCGAGGACAAGTACACCAAGTACGAAATGTGCCAGCTGTTCGGCGAGATCATGGGCACGCCGATCGATCGAATCGTGCCGAATACCGAGGGCAACGATCCCAAGGCCAGCGTCCAGCGGCCGTACGACTGCCATCTCAGCACGAAGGCGCTCAAGGATCTAGGAATTGATGTCTCGACACAGGATTTCGTCGGGTGGTGGAGGAGAGAATGCAGGGCGTTTCGGCATTGATGTGATTCGCACCACGCGTTTCCCTTCTCAACTGATCGCGACACCGACACGGGGGTCGCGTCGGAATGTCGAAGGTTCAGAGACCCGCGGCGGAGCACGCGCCGAGCCAAAGAAAGCATGGATTGCGGAATTCGGGGTGGTGGCTGGCGAGAGTTGGCAGGCAAGACAGGACAGATCTGTACATGAAATAAGTCAAACAGCCCTTGCGTCTGCTGATCGCCAATCGGAAGCAAGTAACTTCCGGGCCCATCGAGGCGGAACCGCACATCACCGTCAATCTCATGCTCGCCCGCGGTGTAGCCACCCTCTGGCCAAAAAAAGCCGAACTCGAGATGGAGCAAAAAATACAGAAGAAAAAAAAAAAAAAAAATATCTTATGGGTAAGAATATAGACATGATCTACTCGAGAAAGAAGTAAAGGGAACCCAGAAAAAGGAACCGGCAAAAGCAATCAAGTAAAAGAAATCGAGTCAAATAAAAAGTAGGCTTCGGGCTTCCGAATGGCTTTCTTTTCGCTCCCCCAGCCGAAGGTTTCGGCGGCACCTACGTTTGGAGTTCGGCTTTTTTTGTCTACGGGGTGCTCGCCCACGGTGAAACCAGCATGCTCATTCCGTAAAAAGGCAGGAATCGTGGGGCCATGAATCAAGATGTCTTTCCTGTCAAACGCGAAACCCTTGGGGTCGTCCGTGATGGGTGATGATTTATTAACTGTTCCTGCCGGTGCGAGGTGGTCTCGTATTTTCCTTCGTTTCCACTCTGTTGTTACGGATTGATGCAAGAAGCCTGCAATTTACGATCGCTGCATTGTCATTCCCTCGTTCGCTACAACCATTTCCCAAGCTGACTGAACCTCTGCAACAAGCCCTGACCCACGATCTGCCCAGCTGCCCCAGCTCCAGCTCCAGAGATCTGCCGCCAAGGCCCCAAGGACCAGGCCAGCCAACAGGGACCCGCGCCGTCTGGAGCCCTTTGACAGCACGCCCCTGTCGAGCTGCCATGTCTGCAACGACTGCCACCAACACCAGCCTCAAGCCAGCCATCCCAAAAAGAACCGGTCAACGGGGCAGGCATGTGGCAAGGAAACGTGCAGTGGCTTTCGATGAATCACTGCAGGTCGACGACACGAGCAAAGGTCAGCTCCAGACCAGCCCGTCGTTTTCCCCTGCATATTTGCTTGCAGCGCTGGAGTGGGCCGAAGATAGTGAAAATAGGAACATCGACAGGCCTGGCAGCAAACCCAGCAGGGTACCGGGAAGGAGTGGGGAGCGCAAACCCCTTGTGCCGTCGTCGGCGCATAAAACGGCTTCAAACCTCAAGTTGCGGCCAGGACGCAGAAACGATGACGTGAAAAAGCTCTCGAAAATTAGGCCGCGGCCATTCGAGCCATCTGAGCCATCCACGCCGCGCATCGACTTATTACCCGAGAAGCTTGTCTTTAGGTCCCGCCAAACCCCAGTGTCGTTCCTTCCGCCCCCCTCTTCCGTCTCCCCTGATGCGGCAAGCAAGTCCGTCTTCTTTAATAATAATAAGTTGCCTCCATCGCCCATCAGTCCTAGCTTGCCACTCCAAAATCGCAAACAGCACCATCGGTATCAGCAGCAACGGCCGGGGACTAGCAACGAGGTCGGCCGGCCGCCTTGGTACAACGGCCCAAAAAAGGCTTCATTTTCGGCCGACAACGTGGCACAGGTAGCAAACGAAACCGACAGGATTATTCTGGCCAGACCGCCGCCGCCACCTGGGGGCAAAAGGTCCGACGGCAAACCCGCCGTGTATCAGACAATGCAGCCTTCCGCAGTGCCGCCGCCATCAATGACCAAGTCCTCAAGCCCACCGCGCCAGCCACAAGGCCCGGTGCGTGAGGCGTTTGCCTTCTTCTCCCGCGGGCGGAAGAAGAGCCACGCCAGCGACTCGCCCCGTTCAACTCTCACAAAACGCTCTCGCGCACTGCCAATCTCATCGACATCTACGTCGGCAGAAACACAAGAAACACAATTCGACTCGACCCATTCCCCCCAATCTCCTGGCATCAACTCCATCCCAGACATGGCGCGCTTCCCCGCCGAAGGGGAGAATCCTACGGGAAAGGTAAGTGGATACTGGGACTACCCGGCCGTACTCGTTTGTCTCTGGGTGCGATTTTAACTAATATGACTTTAGTCCGTTGTAGTGCGTTGCAAGGGCACTACCGTGACTGTTCTGGTCACGAAAGAGACGTCTGCAGCTGATCTTTTGGTGAGCTGCAGCCGGTCATTGGCCGATCTTGGGCGGCCAATCAACCCAGACACCAGCGTTGTCATCGAGCCGTGCGTCCGCCCAGGGCTCGAGAGGAGGCTTCGACAGTACGAACTAGTTTGGGACGTCATCAGCGCTTGGGACAACGATTCGTCCAACTTCTTGATCATCCTCTCAGATACCTCCGACCCAGACAGGGAACTAAGCCTCTCTAGCGTGCCCAAGTCATTAGACGAACCGGAGGGCTTCGTCCTTCCCCTCTACTTCCTCCAACGGCCGGGAAAATGGACCCAGCGCTTTATTACGTTGAAGGAGAATGGGCAAGTCTTTGCATCCAAAAAGCAAGATTTCAAGCCTTCCGACAAGAATGTTGCACGGCTTTGCCATCTTTCCGACTTTGACCTCTATCTGCCGACCGAGGCTGAGATGAGGAAGCAGCTTCGGCCACCCAAGCGGTACTGCTATGCCATCAGAAGCCAACAAAAAGCCACTCTATTTATCGATTCCACCCATTATTGCCATTTCTTTTGCACCGAAGATCCGATCGTTGCGCGGCAGTTCCGCTCTGCTGTGCAGGGCTGGCGTAGTTGGTATCTGGTGAACAAGAAACTAGGGTTACACGAGAAAAAGGAGGTGTCATCGCCAGTCAGCCTCTCCAAAGGTGATCACGGCTACCGGAGCAGGGCCTCAACAGACCAGGGATCCAGAGGTGACTATTGTTCTAGAGGCAGGTCCTCCGTGGACCAGGGACCCAGGGGAAGACCATCAGTCGACCAAGCCCCATTAATTCAGTCAGTTCCGTCCTCTCGTGACGACGTGTCACCAGATGCGTCAGCCGGGGGGGTAATACCTCCAGTTCCGCCCTTGCCAGCATCTCTCCAGGGGAAGAAAGCCGAAGTTTTTACTGCAACTGGGCTGCTTGGTAACGGATACGACGAGCGCAGACAGCAAGTCTTGCGGCAGGAGGCCTCGACAAGACATCGGCGGGGAACGGTGACAACGTCACCAGATGATGGCCCGTTCATCGACGGGCCTAGTCTGCTAAACAACCATGCAGCAGCCACCCCTACCTCCGACGCCCGCCCTCAGACGAGCGGGTCAGGTGGCAGTCCTGCATCGCCGTCTCGCAGGTCAGATCGTGCAGGCTGGTTCCCCTCCGCCGTCCAACACTCGGCCGAGCAACAAAGCACCCGGCCACCTGTCTCGTTATCCCGGAGGCCGAGCACCTCCTCACACGGCCCATCCCGTTCCCGCTCCGTTCGCCAGCGCGGCGAACAGCGCGGCGAAGAACAACTACCCCCGTTGCCCACGCAAAAGCTTCCCCCGCAACCCCTCATCGACCTCACCCCAACCTTCGTCGAGCCCCCGCAGTGGAACCGCGAGGGCCGCGGCCGTGGTGTGCGCGCTCCGCAGGGGAAACCTCTCGTTGATCTCGCCACAGGGCATGTCCTCCCCCCCAGCACAGCCGCGCGCTTTAGGGACGCCGCACCACCTAAGAATCTGCTGCGTCGGCCCGACACGGCAGCACCATCGGCGACATCAGGGGGTAGCGGCGGCGGTGGTGGTGGCACACTCATGGACCAGTATGATTTGCAAAAGTCAACTAGCCAACGCGGGCGGCCGCGGGCGCCCACCCTCGGTGATGGCGCGGATCCTATCCAGGGGGGTCTGCTGGGCGATCTGGCGCGGCGGAACACGGTTAGGAGCAACGCCAGTGCTGGCGGTGGTGGGAGTAGGCCCAGTGTGCCTTCGCCCGCGGCGGCGGCGGCTTATATGCAGTCGAGGGGGAAGACGATGCGGGTTGGAGACGCGGAGAGGGACAAGCTTAGGGGGCGGCTCAGGAGTGTGGAGGGTCGTGGCCGGGGGTAGATGGCGGTTAGGGGAAGGAGGTTTTAATACGGGTTTGTTTCGCCTAGGCTTTTTTTGGCTGTTTTGCTTCATTTTGATTCGATTCGCTTCGGCTGCTGGTGTGGCCTACCTATTTATTTTCTTTTCCTTTTTTGGCCGTGCCGAGGTCATGGCGTGGATACGGTATGGGGTAACGACGTTACGTATCGGTATGATGGGATGGCCTCGAAAAAACAAGGGGATCGGGGAAGACATCTAGTTTCAGCGATGTATTCGTTACTTGTAGCTCTTTGGATTCAGCCTCGAATAGACGTGCGGCTTCATGTTTTTGATTCAACCCCCGATCTACTCTACTCTGTCTGTAGCTCTCTTTTTTAACTCCGATTACAAAATGGGTATTAATGTGTGCTGAATCTCTGTAATAGGATGGTAGGAGATGTAGCCTCGATATTTCTCCTTTAAGACGCGACCAGCAACAGCTTACTTGGTGCGCTTGTAGATCTTGCCGAGGAAGGCCTCAAACACACCCTTCTTCATGCCCTTCGACTCGTCGATCTTGGCGATCAGGGCGCGGACCTCGCCGACGGCCTTCTCCTCGTAGTCCTTGTACCGCTGCTCCAGCTTGAGGTCGTCGTACAGCTTCTTGATGACGGCCTCCTTGTCCTTGTTCTTGCGGCCGTAGTTCTCCTCGAGCACGCGGCGCTGCTCCGGGGTCACGATGGCCAGGGCCTGGTTGACCAGCCACGAGCACTTGTTGTCCATGATGTCGGTGCCGATCTTGCCGATGTGCTCGGGCAGGCCGAAGTTGTCGAGGTAGTCGTCCTGGATCTGGAAGTACTCGCCCAGCGGGATTAGGATGTCCTCGGCCTGCTTGAGGTTCTCGGGGGTCGCGATGTCGAGCATGTACAGGGCCAGCGCCACGGGCAGGTAGAAGCTGTAGTAGGCCGTCTTGTAGACCACGATGAAGCGGTACTTCTCCATGCTGAAGTTGTCCAGGTCGACCACGTCCTCGGGCGCGGTGAGCAGGTCGCACAGCTGGCCGATCTCGGTCTGGTACGTCACCTCGTGGAACAGCTCGAGCAGGTCGACGTAGCGCGGGTGGCTGCGGAAGAACTTCTTGAGGAGCGTGTAGATGGCCGCCTCGAGCATGAAGGCGTCGTTAATGGCAATCATGCCCACGCCCTCCTGCCGGTACCAGCACGGCTTGCCGCGCCGCGTGATGCTGCTGTCCATGATGTCGTCCGACACCAGGAAGAAGGCCTGCAACAGCTCCGTCATCCACCCCAGCGTCGCCGCCTGGAAGTATTCGTCCTCCGTTAGCGGCCGCTCGAGCAGCATCGACACCGAGTCCGGCACCGACATGCCGCGGTTGCATTTGCCGCCGACGGCGTTGACTTGGAGGGACTGGAGGGCGGAGAGGTTGGTTAGCAGTCCGTTTTTCGCTTTCTTTTGTCTTCCTTTCGTTCTTCTCGGTTTTCTTGTGTTGGTTATTAGGAATATTGCCCCCTCACCTTCTTGTACCAGTCAAGAGCCTGTGCCGGAAGCTTGTAGGTATTGGCATGCTCAACAAGTGCCGCTTCCAGCTTTGGGAAGACGGCCTCGAACTCCTGGAGGGTAGTTTTTTGCGCCATCTTTGTTTTGCGAGTTGTTTGTTTTCTTTTCCTCTTGTTTGGGAGACCTCGGGTACAGCGTAGAAACAAACCGTAACTAAGTCGGGTTTGGTTGGGGAGGATGGAGTTCGGTAATTGGAGTTGGGGGTTGGGCGTTCCGGGTCGGTGAACTTGGGTGCCACAGGCGGTGGGCCGGGAAACAGCGGCGTCGGCCAAAGAAGCTTGGGAACTGTTGGGCCCAATTGACCCCTCCTTTTCTCTTTGTCTCTCCTCCCCAGAGTGGGGAAGCGCTTGTGATAGTCGAGCCCCTGAATGCCGCAAGATTTTGGCGGTGTATCATTCTAAGGGTGGGGGGCAATGCGGCAGAATTCAGGAACCCCCGGCAGTTTTCCCCATTAGATGCGCGTCATTTGGCGGCAGACGCGTCTAAACAAGAGATCCAACACCCCCTGTAATCTGTACCTGTCTGGACCTGTGCCGAAGCCATGCAGCTCGATTTCGGACAAGACTGATTAAACAACATGCAGTGTCACCACTTGCGGAGGTAGTCTGACTCGAGCCCCAATTGTAAACATGTGAATTAGCAGACCACCTACGTTATACCTGGGACCTTACCTACCTTATCCAAATACGATAGCCTCGACAGAAATCCAACCACGCCAAGGTCCTCTGTTGCTGCTTGCTTCCTTCCGGCTTTATTTACATCGTCACATTGGAAGTTGACGGGACCTTCAACCAAGCCCTCGACCACATCAATCCATCACCGCCATAACGACTCGCTTGTTTGACGCAACCCCCGCCCAGCATGGGCCTGTCACCAAGGGACTCGGTGCAGCTCAGGGAGACTCTACAAATAGCAGTGGTGAAGTGCTCCGAACGATGTCTCTACCAGTCTGCTAAATGGTATGTTTAATGGCTAGGTACCTATGTTGTGATCATCTGTCAACTGATTTGAACTACCAGGGCCGCAGAGATCCTCGATGCGCTTCCAGAACCCGACCTTGATACCATGTCGGATGCGCCAGGAAACAATGTACATCCCGTCTTCGCGCCCAATCCTGACCCTGTTGAGGCCGATCTGGAAGCTCAGGAGCTCGGCCGGTATCTGCTAGCAAAGTCGTACTTTGATTGCAAGGAATTTGAACGATGCGCCACCGTCTTCCTCCCGGAGCCCCTTCTAGCCAGCCTCTTGGGGACCAACCCGAACGAGGTCGCAAACCCCAAGGGCAAGGGCAAAGCTAAAGCGATTTCAGCGTCCTCTCCCGAAAACAGCCTGCCTGCGATTAGCCAAAAGAGCATGTTTTTGGCTCTGTACGCCAAAGTCATAGCGGGAGAAAAGCACAAGGACGAGGACACGGAGATGATCATGGGGCCCCAGGACTCGGGGTCCGTCATCAACAAGCAACTGGTGATCGTCAGCCGCTTTCTCACCAAGTGGTTTGCCCAACGAAAAGATGATGATGGTGACTATCCGGCCAGCCAAGGATTTCTCGAGTACCTGTATGGCATGGTCCTAGCGAAGGAGAAGAATGATAATCTAGCCTTGGATTATCTGATGCAGAGCGTACATTTGTTCCCTTGGAACTGGGGCGCTTGGCTGGAGATCACGAACCTCGTTTCGAGGGCCGAACAGGTGCGCAACGTGTAGCTCCCTTCCCTGGCGGTGTGTAGCTAACTCCTCCGTCAGCTAACCAAGATCGCCCCCCATCTACCACAAAACATCATGTCCTACATTTTCCACGCCAACGCTTCAGTAAACCTCTACCAGCAGGGGCCAGAACTTGCCTCCTCGTTAAACGATCTTCTCGGCATCTTTCCCACTTCATCCTTCCTCATGACCTGCAAGGCATTGCTGTGTTATCACTCCAAAGACCTGTTCGCCGCTGAACAGGAATTCAACAAGGTGTTGGCCCTCCACCCGCAACGACTCGACTCGCTCGACCACTACTCCAACATACTGTACGTTCTAAACCGGCGCCCCAAGCTCGCTTTCCTGGCCCACCTCTGCTCCAACATCGACAAGTTCCGACCCGAATCCTGCGTCGTGATTGGAAATTACTACTCGCTGCTCTCGCTTCACGAAAAGGCGGTGCAATACTTCCGCCGAGCTCTTACGCTGGACCGCTCCTGCCTCTCAGCGTGGACCCTCATGGGCCACGAATACGTCGAGCTCAAGAACACCCACGCGGCCATTGAGTCGTACCGCCGTGCAGTCGACGTCAACCGGCGGGATTACCGCGCTTGGTACGGCCTTGGCCAGACGTACGAGGTACTTGAGATGCACGCGTACGCGCTCTGGTATTATAAAAAGGCTGCGGGCCTTCGACCGTGGGACTCTAAGATGTGGCAGGCCGTCGGCTCGTGCCTGCAGAAGATGGGCCGCGACCGCGACGGCATTAAGGCCCTCAAGCGCGCCCTGCTGGCCGATAGCTACTATGACACCACGGCGGCGAGCAGCTTTGGCAGCGCCGGCCCCGTCGACCGGATGTCACAGATGGACCCGGAGGTGCTGCTGCAGATCGCCACCATGTACGACCGCCTCGACGAGGTGGACGAGGCCAAGGCATACATGGAGCTCTGCCTAGCGCAAGAAGAAGGGGCCGCAGGCGCCGAAGATGGCGGCGGCGGTGGCGGCAGTGGCGGTCTCTCGCTGGGCGACTCCATCGCCATCCACAACGACGCGCCAGGGTCGGACGGCGAAGGCAACGGGGCGGACGGCGCGGCGGGACCCGACAGCGGGACGGGGGTGACGTTCGCGACCAGCAAGGCGCGCATGTGGCTGGCGCGGCACGCGATGCGGGCCGACGACTTCGACACGGCCAACCGGCTGGCGATGGAGCTCTGCCAGGACGGCATCGAGGTCGAGGAGGCGAAAGCGCTCATGCGCGAGGCCCGCTCGAGGATGGAGCTCGCGGATATGGTGGAGCGCTAGAGGTCGCTGCCGCTTTCCGGCACCCGTCTCCTCAATCAAAGCCAGTGGGCTGAGCGAGCCGGCGAGTCTCCCAAGAGCCCCCAGGGAAGGAGGCAGTGGTCGCGCCAGAGCAGTGGGAGGCTTTCGTCGCGGGGGTGATGGCCTGCCCTCTGCTCGCTACTTGCGCGAACGCCGGTTGAAGTGAAGGCTCGGGTTTGTATGGCGTACCCATGGTTGTGGGAGCCGACATCGGCATGGATACTCGCACGATTATGACGATTCGATGGCGGCAGCGACGCGCTGCACGAAGTTGGTGGCGTTAATGCATATATCATGAGGAGGACAAGGAATCGGTTATCGGTATGGCTACGGTAACAGACAGCGTTAGTATGATTGTTCTACGGTGTAGGATGAGACGTAGGACGGCCAGAATTGGTTGCGTGCAGTCACGCTTCTCAGAAAAGCTGTGGTGTTCACTACCGTAGAGAATGGAGTGTAGATAGACGTAGTGGAAGAGAAATTCAGAGCACTGCTTCAAGATTTGAGCCTGTGAAACCATGTCAATAACACCAACATATCAACTTTTCTGCCTAGGGACAGGTGGGACTGCACCCTCACACCCCGTTAGGGTACTGTACGTCCATGCTTCACAAGAGCCGCATCTAGTTGTGGCATGTCAGACAGTGGACGTCATTGTTTGTTTGTACGTCACGGCAAAAATACCCAGTCACTTGCTTTGGTACGACGTGCCCCTTCCAAATTTCGTCACTCCATTCCACACCGGTATATGTATACATCCAGATACGCAGAGCATAGTACAAGCATTCACCCGTCATGACCGATCCCCACCTCCACTTCAAGCGTCCCCCCTACGCCTTGTTCCCATCATTGGACTCCCCGTTCTTCTCCGCTTGCGCCCCCGCCCCAGCTTGCGCTTGCGGTTCCGGAGACTGCTCTTCTATCGATTTTTCCCCGTTTTGGCCTTCGTTTGGAGATTCAGCGGCAGGCGGTGCCGGTGATGGTGGGGCGGGTTCTGGCGCTGGCGCTGGTGCTGGTGCTGGGGGTGGAGGAGGGGCAATGATTTGTTTGCCCCTGATAACTTTGAGCAGATAATCGCCAGCGTCCTCGAACCCGTCGAGTTTGCCCAGGCGAGACTGGAAAAACTCAACATCCCGCAGCATCCTGTTGGAATATTATTAGTACATGCCTGGGCTACACTATCGAAGCGAGCGAGAACATACCTCCCCCGGCCCTGCTCCGTCTCGAGCTCCGCGGCTTGGTACGCCGCGCCAAATGTGTCTTTGTAGTTTTTGAACACGGGCATCATGATCATGCGCACAGTGCCCTCAGGGAGGTGTTTTGTCAGGTTGCGGTGCAGGATGCTGGTTTCCTTGGCCAGCGTCTCCATGTACTCGTTCACCACGGGTTTGGATTCCTGGTCCCAACTGATGGCCTTCAGCTTTTTGGTACCAGCCAGGGCGCGCCCGCTCATAATTTCGATTAGTTTGTCGTAGATATTGTTCTGGTGCTCCTGGAACGCTCGCCTGGCCTTGTCAAATTCGCCCATAACGCTCGACGTGGCCGGTCCTGAGCCGCAATGCCGGCGAACAAATTCGCGGACATGCGGAATGATGGCTGCGATAAAAGCAAGGGATTGAGAAGCTAGGGCGAGGTGTTTTGTTGTTATGTTCTTGAGCCCGGCGGTACGTGTTGCACCGGTGCCTAAGATGAGTTGGGTGCAGCGCGAGTTGAAGAGCTGGAGGAATGCGACCAGCGATGTTGATATTTCTCCCGTCATAGACGGTATGGCAGCTATAAGATGCAAGAAATGAGCCATTCCATGCATACACGAGATGGCAGAGTTGGGGAGCAGGTAGCTTTCCGAGTCGACCACGGCACTCCTAGTTTTGGTCTTGCTTGTTCCGTTTGCTTGGACTGACAGCACGTCAACCTCTTCGCCTGCCTTTTCCGTGTCGGGGTGCGGGATCCATATTTGATTTCCCTCCGTCCAGGTAACGGCATCGCTGGTGCTGCTCTCCAGAATTCGGCCAAGTAGTTCCGTATCCTTCTCGCTGAAATCGGCTGAGTTCCACTGATCCGATTCCATGCCCTGCGCAAGCTTCTGGTTTTCGGCGTCCCCGTGATATTGGATGAAATCCTTGATGTGGCCGTTAACGACCGTCTTTAACGTGGTACCGCTGCGCCCAGAAATGGCCTCGCATTCATTGGCAAAATGGAGGTTGAGCGTGAAATATCGCAGGAACCAGAGGAGACCCAACCGCTTGCTCTGTTCTGATCGCACACGCAGTACCTTTACGATCTTTTCGTGCGCCACGTCAACTGCCTGCCCCAGAAGATTCGCAATGTCTAGCCCCATGTGGATTTCTTCCTGGGCCTCCCGAGCGGCGCCTGACGCCTGCCTTGTTGTAGGGCTAAAGGGAGGTGACTGGAGCGGAGATCGGGCACCCGATGGTATGGGCGGCTCGCCGATGGAACTTGCCACATCCAGAAGAACCTTGGCTTGAGTACTTAGTCTCCTCAAAGCCTCAGCCACGCCGATGTACACGTTGGTCAACAACTTCTCGGCATCTTGAGGTTCGAGAGCGCGTAGGTTACGGGCTAGAATGATCGACCTCTCTTGCTGGGAGCGTTGGTTGCCGCCGGTTCTTGTGGACGTGGACATGAGCGATTCATTGTCATCGTCATTAGAGCTGGGCATCTGCCGTCGGATGATGGTTCTAATCTCGCGCAGTGCCGCTTCCCGGTACGCGGTAGCCGCAGCTGTGAGATGCTTTGCACGTTGCAAACCCGTGAGGCTGGTGAGAAGCTCTGTCCGTATCAGGTTTGTTCCCGCCATGTATGCCGGGAAGGCAGAAGGTTCACGGCTGTGAGTTCCACGTGTTCGCGCCGAGGCACTACTCCAGCGCATCAGAACCTCTTGGAAAGACACTTGCTCGACATGATTCTGAAGGTCTGTAAGCAGGGTAGTGAGAAATTTGGCTTCGTAGGATTTCCCAATCTGTAGCCGAAGCGTGTCCAAGTCGCTGCTCACGCCCTGGAGCGCGGTAGCCCCCCTGAGGTCCCTTAGTTGGATACTAAGCTGGTTGGTCCCCGACACCTCGCCTGCCATAAGGTTCTCGACGGCATCGATATTGTCAAGAGCTTCATCGACCTGGCCACCATCGACTAGAGACTCGCAGACGGCAACGGCGTCGACAATCTCTCTTAGTTGCATAACGGTGTCATGAAGCTGCTTGATGTTCTCTCTTTTCCTGCGCTGCTGGACAAGATTCAGACCACCAATCGCGACCTCTTCATCAAGAGCTTCGAGTTCCTTCCTTAGTGCCTTGATCCTTTCTACCGAGTCCGCCGCTTCAGAGTGTAGTTCTCGAAGCGAGCCGAGGGCGGTAAAGAAAGTGGTGGATGCGGTGGATATGGACTGAATGAGATGCATCTCAACAGTATCCATGTACCATGACAGCTTCTCCTGTAGGATAGCATTCGTCGCTAAGGCCTTACGGGGCGCGACGGCCTGGCCGTTAGACGCAGCCTTCCCGTCGGCGCCTGGCGCCGGCCGCACCACTTCGGAGCGCTCGCTAACGACATCGAATGTTCGTGGATTCTCCAGGTGGAAGTCGTCGTCAAAGTATACGGTGGGTATGGTGGAGAGCGGAGGGGGTCCCTGTGCTGGTCCCCTTCTCGGACGCGAACTTGACCGCAGCGGGGCCGAGGCGGTTTCAATGGAGGATAGGGAGCTTAGCGACGCAGTCGATGTTCGTCTTGATGATAGCCCCAGCCGCCTGCCTGGTCGCAAATGGCCTTCATCTAGGGCTTCGGGGTAGTCGTCCGGCTTGTTCCCTCGACGATGTGCGCTGCCCGCCCCCTGGTCCTCATTCGCTTGCGCGCGCCGCAGCTGTTCGTACAAAGGGCCAACCTGCGACAGGTACGAGGTAAACTCGGATGCTTCGACATGTGGTATGTTCGTGAGCGCCACGGGGGGTATGTCTCGCGCGGTCGGAGGTTTATGTGCGCTCGAGGCAGGCGGCACGGTGTGCGGGAGGAGGCCAGTCCTCACTATTGGAGGCTGTAGTAGCGTCGAGATGGCATTTTGGCCCGATTCGAAGACGGGGTTGGACGAGTTCCCCCAGCTGTCTAGTGTGCCCCCGACCGAGTGGATGGAGCTTGCTGTTGACCCTCTTCGCTGATGGGAGTGTTGGGAGCCATGAGGCGCTGTTCTTCGAACTGTTAGCTGTTGATCAAGGCGCACCCAAGGTGCCCGGACTGCGCGGAGGAGCGAGAGTAAGTGGGTGTCTTGTGTGCATGTGCGTATGCGTACCCATGGAAGGGGAAGTCGCCCCGATGCCCAACCGATAGCGTCGGGGACAGGCTATCGACCGACTTGCGCGCCCCCTGATTTGCAAACATGATGCCTCGCCCAGTCTCCCCAGCCACGAGGCAAATTCGTTGTGTTGTTTGCGACCATCCAGGCCCGGGTGCGAGACCCTTGGGGAGCTTAATCCCAGGGGGGGACCGCTGTAACTACCAATCTGCAGGTGGATCTGACAGTGAAGAGAGGCCGCCGTCACCGGGGTATCATTGCTGGAAAACCTTTAAGGGAGCATACACTGCGTTGGTTTTCGGCTGTCGTTCAACTGTTGTGTTCTCGGCCGCAGGATATTGATTGGCAGTTTATTATCGTTTGGTTTCGGTGTGTCAGGTTTGAGTTGCCGTCAGTGTCCTGAGTTGCTGAGATGCTGAGCTCCTTGGCCAATCTGGCCGGGACTGGTCCCTGAGTTACGCCAAGCCTGGGATGGTACCCTGGGCCCTGCACAGCTTCACCCCTCCTATAGTTGCATATTTAGCTGGGGATAAACTCTACCCTGGTAACGGGGCGACATCTTTCTTATCCGAACCAACGTCGCACGACCCAGTGAAATAGAAATATGGGCCCAATTTAGATCCCTGTCAGAAAACGCGGTTCCGTCGCGTCGTTCTGGCGCTTTTACGCGTCGCACAGTTCCCCCCTTCTGCAACCTCCTCCTAAGTGGTTACCCCTCTATCCGGAGTGTCGTCGCAGGAAGAACTTGTCGAGCTACCCGCCCCTCAACACCATCACCCCAAAACACGCCACAGACTAGTCGCATTCTGTTACCATGGATCGGCAGTCAGTATTTACCAGTCGCCTTTACGGTACCCAAGCCGAAAGTGAAAACTCCAACACACACGTCCGGGGCCTGCTCGAGTCCTTCATCCTTGATTTCCGGCTCGATAACATCTTCATCTACAGGTCTGCCTCTCGATAGCCGGACTTAGGGCCGCCCTAGAGACTGACGCATTTTTCTACAGAGACCAACTACGCGAAAATGCACTGCTCAAGAAATACTACTGCGACGTCAACATTGGAGACCTGATCAAGTTCAACGAAGAGATCGCCCACAGATTAGTGACAGAACCCGCAGAAATCATCCCACTAGTATGACATGCCGTCATTGTTATGATATCTACTCTACCTGACATCCTCTAGTTCGAAGCAGCCTTGAAGCGGTGTACGCACAGAATCGTTCACCCCCACGAGCCCAACGTCAAACTCCCCGAACACCAGCTCCTCCTCCACTCCAGCGCCGAAGATGTATCGATCCGCAACTTGGACTCTCTCACCATATCGAGACTAGTTAGGGTACCTGGTATTGTTATCGGCGCCTCGGTCATGTCGTCCAAGGCGACCGAAATCCATATTCAATGCCGCACCTGCGACCACGCCCAAGATATCGCTGTTCTCGGAGGATTCAGTGGCGTGACCCTCCCGAGGCAGTGCGGAAGGAACCGGGCTCCTGGTGATCCGACAGAAAAGTGCCCTCTCGACCCCTATTTCGTCGTGCACGAGCAATCGAAATTTGTCGACCAACAAATCATCAAACTTCAGGAGGCGCCCGATCAGGTGCCAGTGGGAGAGTTGCCGCGCCATGTCCTCATATCCGCCGACCGCTACCTTACAAACCGGGTAGTGCCTGGGTCTAGGTGCATTGTCATGGGCATCTTCTCCATCTACCAGAGCAAGGGGTCCAAGAACTCGAGTGGTGCTGTCGCTATCCGCACGCCCTACTTACGTGCGACTGGCATCCAAACTGATCTCGACCAGACCGCCAAGGGGCAAGCCGTCTTTTCGGAAGAGGAGGAGCAAGAGTTCCTAGAGCTCAGCCGACGGCCCGACCTCTACAACATCATGACTGACTGCATCGCGCCGTCCATCTACGGCAACCGAGACATCAAAAAGGCCATTCTCTGTCTCCTCATGGGCGGCTCCAAGAAGATCCTTCCTGACGGGATGAAACTACGTGGTGACATCAACGTCCTCATGCTTGGTGACCCTGGTACAGCCAAATCCCAACTGCTCAAGTTCGTCGAGAAGGTGGCCCCTATCGCCATCTACACTTCCGGCAAGGGCTCCTCCGCCGCCGGTTTGACAGCTTCCGTCCAGCGAGACCAATCAACCCGCGAATTCTACCTCGAAGGTGGTGCCATGGTGCTCGCGGACGGCGGCGTGGTGTGCATCGACGAGTTCGACAAGATGCGTGACGAGGATCGGGTAGCGATCCACGAAGCCATGGAGCAGCAGACGATTTCCATCGCCAAAGCAGGCATTACTACTATTCTGAACGCACGAACATCGGTACTCGCCGCCGCCAACCCCATCTTCGGGCGGTACGATGATATGAAGACGCCCGGAGAAAACATCGATTTTCAGACCACCATCCTTTCCCGTTTCGACATGATCTTCATCGTCAAGGACGAGCACGAGCGCGGTAAAGACGAACGCATCGCCAAGCACGTCATGGGCATCCACATGGGCGGGCGCGGCGTAGAAGAGCGCATCGAGTCCGAGATCCCCGTCGAGAAGATGCGCCGCTACATCAGTTACTGCAGATCGTGAGTTCCTCCCCGACTTTCCACACATACCCTCCCTCACTCTTAACTAACTAACCCTCACCCAGACGCTGCGCCCCCCGCCTCTCGGACGCAGCAGCCGAGAAACTCTCATCCCACTTCGTCGCCATTCGCAAGCAAGTACACGCAGCCGAGCTCGAGGCCAACACACGGTCGTCGATCCCCATCACAGTCCGGCAGCTGGAAGCCATCGTGCGCATCACCGAGTCGCTCGCCAAGCTGGCGCTCTCGCCCGTGGCCACCGAGGAGCACGTCGACGAGGCGATCCGGCTGTTCCTCTGCTCGACCATGGACGCCGTCAACCAGGGCAGCAACCAGGGCAGCCGCGAGCTGAACGAGGAGGTGACGCGCGTCGAGGCCGAGCTGAAAAGGCGCCTGCCCATCGGCTGGAGCACCAGTCTGGCGACCCTGCGCCGCGAGATGGTCGAGGGCAAGGGGTTCAGCGAGGCGGCGCTGAATCGGGCGCTGATGTTTTTGCAGAGGAGGGATACCATCATGTTTAGGAACCAGGGGGCGCAGGTTTACAGGAATGGCGCGTAGTTTTGGGGAAGAGGGTGGGGGGAAGTGGGTGGAATGCCTGATCAGGGGAGATTTGTTTGTCTGTTTATCTACATGGGTAAAGGGCGCTGGCGTAGGTTGGGATAAGGGGTATGAACTGCCACGGGGATACAATGACACGATGAGTTGAAATCCAAATCTTGGGCGTATTTACTCTCCTCTGGTCAACCAATCGATAATGTGGGTTCTATGTAACCAAATCCGTCCTGTCGCAAACCTTCAAGTAACGCTAAACCTATCAAGTGGAGTTCCAGCCAGTCCTTCCGAGTTGTGGCTGAGAATGGGACTCGAAACCCCCTCACAATGTAGAGATATCGAGCCATAAATGATGCCTTGTCATGAAAAACAACCAAGTCCCTTTAAGCATACGCAAGGGTATTATCATCCCTAATCATACCCGCCACTCCAAGGGCAGCCTCATTCCCAGCAACGCAAGGACCACGGACAACAATCTGCAAGCACCAACGTCAGTTACACCAACCCCAAATCAACAAACAGACAACAACAAAATTAAGGGCGCAAAACTTACCTCCCCCTTACTCCCCTCATCCCCGGACTTCCAGGCGCCCATATCCCTCAGCACGACCTCGGTGCTCGTCAGCGGCGGGCCAAAGTGGCAGCCGCCGCCCTGTTCGTTCTCAAACACCCGGTAGTCGAAAAACCCGGTCTGGGCCACGGCGCCAGCGACCTTGGCGGCCGTCAGCGCGTACATGATGCGCGCGCCCGTCAGCACGCGCAGGTCGGCCAGCACGGCGGACGACAGCCGCGAGGTGCCGGCGCCGGCGCGGTCCGCGGTCAGGATTAGGCGCAGCTTGCTGTTGTTGTTGTTGTTGTCTGTGCCGGCGCTGGGCATGACGCCGTTCTGGGTGAGCTTGCGGACCCGCATGCCGTGGAGGGTGCGGGTGAGGAGGGAGCTGTTGATGCGGGTGATGGATTCCTTGTGGGTCTTGAGCAAGGCGGCCGGGGTGGCGACGAGGATGGTCGGGGACACGCCGCGCGTGGCGATGGCGAGGTCGTCGGCTTGCGCGGCGACCGAGTTGAAGGCGACGGAGGCGTTGGAGTAGAGCGCGGCCAAGGTGAGGACGAGGGTGTGGGTGTTGGCGAGGGAGTCGGCCGGCAGGAAGAGGTCGGAGGGGCCGATCCGCTGGGAGGTCGCGACGGCGAAGAGCTGGGCGGCAACGCCGGAGATGAGGTTGGCAGACGTGAAGCGCACCATTTCCTCCTGTTGGCCGCGCTTGGATTTCCAGAACACAGTGACGTCGCGGGCCGCTTTCTGACCCTCCAGCTGCGGCAGCTGCTTCCCAGCATCCACGGGGCTGTCGTTGACGATATCCTGCCAGGTAGAGACGTTGACGCTGCTTCCGGTGCCCTGGGGAACCTCGTTCCAGTCCATGTGTTTGCTGCCCTCATCGACGACCCAGATCAGCTGGCGCAGGGACGGGTAGCTGCCAACAACCATGTCAAAAGGGAAGGAGCCGGGTGCGGTCACCACGGTGTCGGCGGCGGAGCGGCGCAGCATGGAAATGATGGCATCGGTAGGCTCGTCGAACGGCAGGATCACGGCGGTTAGGTCGTAGAAGGCGCACGCGAACAGGGTCGCAATCAGCTCGACCGAGTTCGGTAGATAGATGGCCACACGGTTGCCGCCCTGGTCGATTATGTGCTGGCCGATCAGGTTGATCTGGCGGGTGATATCGGCGAGCTTGTGTTCGATGGTCTTATCGGTCCCCAGCACGGTCAAGATGCGACCAGTCGCTCCCTTGGTCGGCCCATCCTCCTGCACGCCGGCGACGGCCTGGCGCCAAATGTCCCGCAGATCTCCATCCCGACCTCTCGACCACTTGGAGGCACCCGGGTCCTTCACATTCAGGCTGGCGTTAAGAGGCATGCCATGGGGGGCACCCTGGGATCGGTAGACGGGAGACTCGCCAGGTTGGCGCACGGGGGAGCCCTGGGCTTGACGGGCGAGGAGGAAAGGGTGAGTGTCCGGGTCTTGCCGCGTAGTAAGCTGGTAGGTGAGGAAGCCGGCGAGGACGGTGAAAATGGCGCTAGTCCAGAGATTCCACTGCCCGAAGAGCCCGGTGACGCTCTCGTCGAGCCGGAGCAACAGCGTGTCCATTATGCCAGCGCAACGCAACTGCCGTTAGAAAGTTCCAATGCTTTGGGGGGATTGTTATCACGAGCAAAGCAAGAAGGATTGGATCCGAAATGCCGGAAGCCGTGGGATTCAAGGTCAAGTCGACAGAATCCGAGGCTTCCTAAGCTGCAGTGTATGTAATGGACATCCACCAAGAAGTATGTCCACTGTATACTGCGGCATGGAATGCCGGGAGAGATGGAGCCAAGCGGTGGGGAGCTCTGTTTTTGGAGCTGCCCAAATGTGGGGCTTCCCGAGATCTGGAGGCCCGTGCGGTGTACTTCGTGCTTGTAACTGAACAACTGCCATCAGCTGACAACAAAGACCCCTGCTTGAAGCTGTCGCCTGGTGAATTGTTGACTTCGCGACAAATCGCGAGCTGTGTCCAAGCCAATTTGGGTTGTATTCAAACAACCCGCAGGCCCAAAACACCAACGACAAACGGGGACACGACCGAGCGGAACGTCGCCTCAAAGCGACTTCCCGGCCATTCGGCTTTACTAACCACATCATACAGCAGAAATCGACACTTTGCAGCCAGGTCTCGCCCCGCGCATCCTCGACGGTAACTGCGCCTGAACTGCGATTAAGGAGGTAGTTCATCGCCCACATTTCCGCCGCTGTACTCGCTGTACTCATCGAGTGTTTCGCTATCTTCTTAGTTCTCCGCTCTCCGACAAACAATTGGCAACATCACCACCAGCGCCATGTCGTCCTCGATTATGACGCCGGTTAAGGCCACTCCCGTCAAGCAAACCACGGCACCACCAGCGGTCTCAGATAGTCCCGGCAACTGGAAACACCCCCGCCTCGCCGAGATCACACGGCGGCAGAGTCAGAATGTCTTTTCGGAGAAGAACATTAGGAAGATGGTCTATAATGCCGTGGCACTAGTCGGCATTGGACTAGTGCGGCAAGTGGTGTTGCCCTTTGTGCCATCCTGGTTGTGAGTTCCCCGCGAAGAAAACCGCGCCACAACCAGACTCATCAGACTAACCCTTGGACTAGAATCACACCCCTATGGAGGCAGTACAGCAGCTGGATCACTGCGACACTAATCCTTGTGCCATTAATCAACATCGTCATGGCGCTGCTGCCATTGTACCGGCCCCAGGACGACCTCTCCGACATCCCCCTCACCCCCGCCCAGCGGAAGCTACTCGGGCTTCCGCCGAGCTCGAGGCCGGAAACACCAAACTCGGTCTACAGCACACCCCCGCGATACTCGCGGACCCCATCGCTTGCCGGGTCGCCCGCCAGCATCAAGAGCTACGCGAGCTCGCCGCTCTCGAACTTTGCCAGCCCGAGTCCTGGGCAGTACTCGTCGCCCCGGTTTGGGACCTCGCCATCGAAGCTGAACGCGCCGCAGTACTCGCCCTCAAATGTCAGCCCTCTGCGGCATAAGGCGATAGGAGGGAGAACAACGTCATTCGGGTCCACCAGCCCGCTCAACGCGAGCACCGCATCGAGTGCGTTTGGCGAGGGACCTGCGACACCGACGCCGGCGACGGGGAAGCGGTCGACTGTGGGCCTGAACAATAAGTGGCTGTATGAAAAGGGGAGGAGAAGTTCAGGAAATAGCTGGCTGCACGCATAATACCCGAGGCCTCTGCAAATTGAAGGACGGTTGTATGTATGTTTTACGGCCAGCTTGAACTTGGACCGGTGTCGTTCTAGTAGAAAACAAACTGAAATTACTGCGCAATGCATGATAGATTCGTAGTCCTAGGGGTCATCTTTGAGTTCATGTTTGAGTGCATGATGTGAAGTTCACTATTAACTAAGGACGGGTGTGAATCAATGTAGTTAGAGAACAAAAGTACTAAAGCATAGGATGGTGGGTATATAGGTATCTTGAATTTCCTCCTCCCAGCCGCTCTATCGACCACCACAGCCTCAAGAAATGGAAAAATATATTAAACAAAAAAAAAAGTAACTGCCAGCCGGGCATGCCAAACCGGGTTGTTATCGAGCCTCTTCCAAGGGCGGCGTGTTCACAAGCGTACCAGGGCTCTCATCCTCAACACTCGAGACCACGACGGGAGGGGCAAGGTGCTCAGCATTCTTCCCCTTGCCTTTGTAGTCACCTTGTGCCGCCGCTCCGGTCACCGTAGGTACACCTTCCACCGCTCCGGCCGGGCTGCTGCCCTTGCTTGGCCCGGTAACAGCGACGGAGTTTCCTGCCTCCACCACGGCTCTCGCGGCCTGCTTGCCGGCATCTGCAGATTCCACACGGGCCCCCGTTGACTGCACAACCGGCACAAGGTGCGAGTCCTTCGCCAGCACTGCTTTGGCGAGTCCACGTACCCCGGCGAGGATGACCTCAGGCTGCTCCCAGGCGAGCAGTCCGCTAGTCGGCCCGGACACGCGCTGAATATGGACGGTGTCGAAAAGGGCGTTGGCCCAGGCTGGCGGATAGTAGCTTACCTCCCTAGCAGCTACCTGCTCCGCCGTGGGCCACAAGCCAGCAGTCTCTTCGTCCCCTTCTCCCGCAACCACAGCCGTAGCCGTTTCCGGTTGTTTACCCTTCTGGCTGCCGTCCGCCCCGGGGAACACGGTGATCGCAACCCTTGGCTTGGGCCCCCGAGCAGTCTTCTCATCCTCCTCCAGGTGCCTCCCACACGCCGCCCAAAACCTCAACATCCCTTCCGGCCCCGGCAGCCACATCAGATTCGCCAGTGTAATCAGCTCATCCCGCGTAAACACGGCCTTCCCACCCCCAGCCGCCAGCCGCAGCCCCCTCAACAAAAACGCCAACATCCCCACGGGCGAGTCACAAAGCGCGTACGCGAGCGTATCCGGCTCCGCCAACCTCTCCAGCCCAACACCACTCCCACCCCCATCTCGTCCCCCCTTCTCTTTCCCTCTCACTCTCCCTCTCCCCCTTCCCCACGCCTCCAAATCACCCCTCTCATACCCCCCATTCCCATCCCCACCACCACCACCCCCCCGCAACAACACCCTCGCAGCAACCCACCTCCCCCACCCCCTCCACCCGCCCTTCCACCCCAGCCTCGGCGCCCGCAGCACCGGACACACCAAATGCCCACCCACACACGACGCCGCGTGCGCCGTGGCCAGCCGCCGAACGATTCGCTCGCCTACCCGGCCGGCACCACCACCAACACTTGCATTGGTGGGGGAGCTCGGCGTGGTCGCGGTGGCGAGGTAGGCGGGGTAGCCGAGGCGGTGCATCAGGGTGTTGAGGATGGTGGCGGTGGCGGGGATGGGGTTGGTGTTGGTGTTGGTGTTGGGAGGGGCAAAGGAGGGGGGGAAGGGGTCGGAGAAGGCGGTGCCTGGGAGGGAGGGGATTATGACGTGGAAGTACTGCCGGTTTTCATCTGGACCGCCGTCGCTGCCGGGCTGGGTTGGTGTGCCCGTGAGGAGGGGGATGAGCGGGGCGAGGGAGAGGGCCGGCAGCGGGAAGGGCGGGATTACCAGCAGAGGGATGGCGCCGGGTGCGTGGGAGGGGGCGTGGATGAAGTGGATGCGGATGGGGGCGTGGCTGTCCGGTGGGGTGATGGCGGTGCGGAATTGGGGGAGGTGGGGGTTGGTGTTGAACCCGGACTCCGTGGTACGCCAGGAGTAGGACTCGAGCCTGTTGGAGGGGCGGTGGGTTGTCTTGTTAGTAATGGGGGCGCGAGAAGTGGCCTCGGGCGGAAGCCGGGGGATTTGGTTGGGGCACTGAGGAGTAAAAGAATACCAGTAGTCGATGAGTGGCTCGATGATAGGCTTGGGAGCCCATGTGTTCGAGTCCGAAGGATGGGAGGGTTCGTGGGGTAGACGGGTGAGTTCGAGCTTTTGGCGGGTAAGATCGAGGTGCTTGCTGGGAACCTGCGCAATGTATGTTAGTTTCATTTACTGGGTGTTGTTAATTAGCTTCGAGTGAAATACTGATGAACTTACATGAATCCTGTACGGCTTGACCTCGTCCGCTGCCGGAGAACTCAGTCCTTCTGCCATTTCGGCGGGTCTACATGCATATGCAAATAGTGATTAGGGTACTCATATATGAGCTATTGTCGCAGGAACGGTCGGGCAGGATGAAGCGAGGTGAACAAAAACGGAACACGAGACGGGACACGCGGAAGGACAAAGAGATGGTGTGTGATGACACACAAAACACGTTCTGGAGACAGGGAATCTCAACTCCGGGTTCCTGGTGTATACTATCGAACGCGCTCTCCCGCTATACGTATCTAATGCGTGCCGTTATATCCACGTTGCTGGCACATGACAAGGGCTAACGGCGGCTGCGGCACCACCCAACAGCGCGCCAGTTGAACCATTTGACTGGAGCTCGCGGGACAGGAGCATTTGTTCCAAAATCTAGGGTCCTCGCTAAGTCGGCTGTGGAGCGATACCCGTGGCTGGAATCCGGGGAAGGGTACCTGATTCGATCAAGCAGCCACAAGGGTCCAACGACGTTACACGACTGATGAAACAGTGGCGGTGCTCGAACTTCGCTGATGTTTTGGAAACCACCCCACCGTCTATCTCATTGGGGTGTGTTCCCAGGATGGGAAGAGAGCCCTGCAATACTGTGCCGTCGCTTTCGGTTACGCGGCAGCAATCCGGGTGTCTGTCCGGGCGGGCGGGAAAATACTCGATAACTCGGATTGCCAGATAAGTATTCGTAGCTCACTAATTTCGTTGCTCCTTGAGCCGTGTAGCTGTGTTGCTACCTAAACGAGGATTGCTCGTGGTTCCCATATCCATTTGCTCATGCCCGAAAAAGGAGGTCACTCCTAGAGATGTGTACATGTCTGTGAGGGTGGCACGATCGGTGCCTTTCCCTTTCCCGCTCGACATTAGGCGGGTTCTATGCGCCCCGCGTAGGAGGCTGCCCATTCGCAAGCGTTGGCGCGGATGGGTTTCCGACACCTCGCAAGTTGATTGCTCCAATCCGCGACACAATATTGCTGCCCACCGCATCCACGGCGCCGCGGGGCGAGGTAAATGTTGGGCCCTGCGCCGCCGTCTCCTGGACCCGGAATAGCTTGATATGTGTTGAGTTCCACACCCCCACAGTCCCCTTCGACACTTGCATCTCACTACTAAAGATGAAGCCCCAGAGGAGTGACTCGTACCATCCGAGCGCCAGCGGCGACCACTCAAATGAGTGCACCCGAACCGGAGACGGGTCGACGCCAATAAGTTGCACCTCGCGAATCTTGGCGAGCGTAGCCGATGTGGGCGCGTCCGATGTGAGCGCCTGACGGGGGATGAGGACCGATAGCTGCTGTAGAACAGTCAGCGTCGTGTGAAGGGGCAGCTCAGGCAGCCAGCTGTCCATCCAGTGGGCAGACGGCTGAAACTGGCCAGACATCGACTGTCCAGCAACAGGGCCTCCCAGGCTGGTGGTGCTATTTTGTCGCGAGAAGTTGGTCGCCCCTGCCGGCATTTTCCCTCGGGCCTTTTCTGACATGCCCTGCAGCTGTCTCGGCACATCGTCGTCCGCTGCAGATGCCACAGAAGAAGCCCCCGACGGGTTGTCGCTAGGGCTCGAGGCTGCCGGCGTCGGCCGCGCTTCGTCGTCGCTATCGTCTTCGTCGTCGCCGATCGCAAAGGTACTGTCTTCCTCAGGAACATCGCCGAGTGTCGGCGCCCTTGAAGGTTGTGTCGTGGGACTCATGATGCTCTCCATCGAACTCCTAGTCGAGTTGGGCTCCAGTGGGTCAAGGGGGGCGCCGCTATCTTTCCTCCTCTGGTTGCGTCGCTCTACCTCTTCCTGGCCGCTTTCCAATGTCAACGAACGCAATGCCTCAAATCGCTTTCTGTTCCTCAGGATCGCGAAGATAAAGTTGGGATTCCCTACTCGCGGTCAGCCCCAAGCGCTTCTATGACGGGGTTAGAAACCTACTACTGAACTGGTGCTCGACGATGGCATTGATAGCCTCGAGCAATGACCGCAGAAGGCTATGATTACTATCGTTGGCTAGGAGGAAGGATGGAGAAGACATGGAGTTGAACAGCTGCATGATTCTAGAGCAGGTTGGCCCGCTCAATCCTTCCAAATATGCGGCGATGTTGTTAATAACGGCCAAGAGCGCAGGATATACGGCCGTGAGCTTCCCTTGGCTCGTTGTGATGAGCACATAGATGGACTGACTTCGAGTCAGCCAGACTAGAACGCAACAGCATGTGGATCATTTACTCACCTGGAGGAGAAAGTCCCCATACGTGCCCCTGAAGCCAGCAAGGCGGATAGCAGGGGCAACGTATCCTGCGCGTCAAACGACTTGTTCAGGTTCACCCCGAAGTTCTTTTCTACACTGAGAGTCTGTAGCAAGAAAGCACACATCCTCACAACACCCTGCTTCGAGGCATCGCCCTTGTACTCGAGGGCATAGAACAGAATCAGGATGATGAAGTCGTGTGCCCTCTCTGTGTCGATGATGAAAGACCGGAACCGCTTGTTGCACTGAGTAATCTCCCAAAACAGCATTATTGTCTCGGGAGCAAACCTGACAGAGGATTGAGTCCCGGGTATGTATGATGAGTTGGACTGGAGGGGTTGGTTCAGTATCCGCGTCATCCCGTCGACGGCAAACTGGAAGTCCTGCGGCCGGTGCAAGCGGCCGAGGAAATGGCGGTAGTAGTTCTTGGGTGTCGGAACACCAGTTTGTTCCGGGATGGGATAGAGCAGAGTTGCCAACAGGAGTTGTAGGGTGTACGTGACAAGAATCTCCTTGGGGTCTTTCAAAACTAGGGCATTGTACGGCACTCGCCAGCTAGCCGGGTTGTATTTGAGCGTCTGTAAAGGTCAGCAACTAGCATGATACGGAAAATAGTATGCTTCCTACCGTGTTCAACAACGAGCATAACACAGAGAGCACCACCTGCTTGTCCGAGTTGGTGCACATGTAGGTGAGGGCCTTGGTCCCTTGCTGCGGCAATACGCTCGGCGAGAGGTACAAGCTATGGCCCGCCAGAGTCAAGAGTAGGCGAAGGATCTCGCAACGGTTGCTCTCGTGTTCCCTTGTAGTCGGGATCGATGTGTTGCATCCCACGCCACTCTGCCAAATGGCGTAAGTGACCTTTGGCTTGCCATGCGGGGCCTTGGGGACCGTGAGATCGGAGAAGAACAGCAAGTCGAGCAGGGTATCAATGAGTTCTTCGGCGAGTGGTTTCGCATCCTCGAACTCCTCCACGGGAGGTTTGGGCTGCACATCCTGCCCCCCGTCAAACAAAACCTCGTTGGCTATGGATGACTTCCTGGTAGGCTTGCGTCTTGGGCTCCAGAATAACTGGTCTTCCCACTGTTGCAATGACTCCTTTTCGTAAATGAAGGGGAGAACCCTTGTGAGGACCCGCAAGCAGTTGAGTGCTTCTCGATCGGGAGCTATTTCGGGGTCGGGGAAGGAGGGGTGGTGGCGGAGCATGAACAGGCGGTTCGTGACGGCCTGGATCAGGCTCTCGAGGTTCTCGAGCGCATTGTCGCGAGTTCGGCGAACATCGGCCGGGGTGAAGAGGCTAAATATATCTTCGGGTGATTCGGGCAGTTCCCAGAACTGTGGCCGGTTAGCCTATGCATTTCAGGGCAAGGCAGCGCCCCCCTTGACGACGACGACGATGACGGGCGAAGGCGAAGGCGACTAACAGAAGACCAGTAAGCATCACCCGCGGGAATATGCCGTTCCTCGGACAACCTAAAGATGCCCTTTTTGAAAACGAGCTTCGAGTCACTAGCACCCATTTTCGCAGCTATGATATTCGCATTGTGTGTGGTCTGGTTTGTTGATCGGGGAGCCGGGCGGGAGCGGCGACGCAAAGCAAGCAGAAAGATGTCGATCCAGCGTAACAACCGGCTTTGGGACAATCCGACCGACCACGAGTTACATCACAGTGCCGCAGGGGGGGGAAATGGTCTGGGCCCGGCGATCGATCGACCCTAACCCTTAATTTAACACAGTCATATTTGCCAAGCTTTTAGTGGTCGCTGGACTCCACAGCAGGTCCCTCAAACCAAGCCCCGATTGTCGCATATGTTTAACGATCTGGCCTTTATCGCTAACACCAACATCGGAAGCTATTCCATTGGAGCTGTCGCGAACTTGGCGACAACCTCTCGCCCCAATTCCCGGCCCATGACAATATCCAAGTGGCACTGGTCATTTCTCGTTCAGATTGGGATTCCAACCACCATTTTCTGATTTACCGAGGAGCAAGGGCGCAACAGCCCCTACGGATCGCCCGCCATGTACTCCTCTCTCGTCCGTCTCCAAAACGCCTTCGGCTTCTTCACCACGGTCGCCTTCGCGGTCGCCGCCATAATCGCCGCCTCTGATCTTCTCTCTCCACGAACCCCAAGCGTGGGCGTTCTAAAACCCACCAATGTCCAAGTGTACGAACGAACCCTCCCTCCTCCTGTCGACCCACCTATTCTCAAGTCGTCAAGGCCTCCCCACTAACACGGACGACCCGTCCTCCTCCAGCGTCCGCGGCCGCCCCCACTACTACTCCTCCAAGAAGGAAGAGTACGCGATCATCAAGTTCTCTCTCGACGCCGACCTCTCCACACTCTTCACCTGGAACACGAAGCAGCTGTTCGTGTACGTGACGGCCGAGTGGCCGTCAGCCGGCGGGTCCGGGTCCGGACAGAACGCGACCAACCAGGCCGTTATCTGGGACAGCATCATCACGGCACCGAGCGCCGACCACCTCGCAAACCTGGGGCCGGTGGGCATGAAGAAGCTGAAGCGCAGCGCCGAGGGCAAGAGCATCGATCCGAGCCGGTTCGTCGCATCCCCTCCCTAACTCCCTATCTATACATCCCGAGTACGGTTGATACTGACATCGGTTGGGGAAACAGCGGGAAACTCACCCTCAAGAACCAGCGCCCCAAGTACCAGATCACGCATCCCTCCGGTAAGCTCGCCGAGCAGGACGACGTGGTGCTGAGGTTGCACTATAACGTGCAGCCGTGGGTGGGCCTCCTGACGTGGAATCAGGACGTCAATATCTGGAAGTGGGAGACGCTGAAGAACAACCTCAGCAAGAATTTTTCGTTGCCAGCGATCAAGAAGAAGAAGGAGGAGAAGAAGGCGGGCGCGGCGAGGTAGCTAGGCTGAATGAAGCCTCCTTGCAAAAGAAATCAAACATTTACTTGGCCATCTCATCCAATTCCTGTTTTTATCCATCCCCGGTTCTTCGTACTCACGAGCGATGACGAGGTTCCTAAAAATATCAACGTCTTTGCGTCGTGGGAGGCATACGGCTCGGAGATATCATGGATTTTATTTTATCCTCTAGATTCTCCTGAGACATGGCCTACATCTCCTGTCATTACACCGATCTGCTAACTAATATGGGGTATCCGAAGCCCTCCAGGCAAGGCGCGCAGTCAAATGCGGCACTCCATCCCTCTGCAGTAGCATCAATCATGCCTCATCATCGCATGGACTCGTGACGTAACCGTAGCCATATCCGTTTTCCATACCATACCCCGAACACACGCAACTCAACTTCACGCACACGGACGTAGTAACCCGGACAACTAGCTGTGCGGAGCTGCCGTCTGGCCTTGTCCCTGCGCACCACCCCTTCCACCACCCCGCCCTCTGAACCCCTGCCCGTCGCCCCGTCCCCGCCCACCACGTCCACGTCCACGTCCACGACTCGGCGCATCCAGGATTGCCGGAGGCGGCACGGCCCCATAGATAGGCGGAGCAGACGCCGGGTGCGCGATTCCATTCCCATTAGCCGGGCCAGCGCCGTCAGAGTATCCGCCGCGGCCTCGATAGGGGCCGCCACCGCCGCCACGACCTCTAAACTGGCCACCCCCACGACCACGGCCGCCTTGGCCATTCATAGGGTTATGTTGACCGTCCGATTGCTGCTGCTGATAATGTGGGCGATAAGGCAGATTGCCTTGAATCGCGCCGCGTCCACCTCCGCCACGTCCACCACGGGGCGCACCGGCCAGCGCGCCGCGCCAGGTCCCCTGCAAGGGCGCTGGAGAAGCCGCATCCTGGTAACGCTTGCCGTTCATGTGGTAGCCTCCGTGTGCCGTGAGAGTGGTAACCGATGGGCTAACGGGCTGGCGCGCGACCTGGGCCTTGGAACCGGCGACGACTTGATGGTTGGTGAGGTTGAGGAGAACCGTCGAAGGAACCGTCTGGCCGCGGAAAGGCGGGCAGCGGTCGCCAAGAGTGGTGCCACTCATAAAGGTGACGTCAAAGACGACGTCTAGGAGCTTGGCGGTGGGCGTGCGGCTGATGCCGACCACCGTGCCACGGTAGGCAATAGGGACCTTGCCGGTAGACGCGACGTACACGACGCGGTCGCCGAGGGCAAACTGCTGGTTACCGAGGCGATGTTCGGCATCTTCGGGTCTCATGAGGGCGTTGCGCGGCACACCGTTCATCTTCTTGGGATTAGAAGGAACCGTGCTGAGCTGCAAGTTGTCTGCTTCGCTGGCGAGCCGCATGACCACGTCCGAGTCGAGCTGCTCGGCATCGAGGGGTACACGCTCCATGGAGCTGGTCTTGAGCGTTTTGAGCCAGCTGCCGATTTCCTTGACTCGGGGAGAGCCGACGGCGGGGTCCGTCCAGAGATCCGACTCGGTGAGCTCAGCGCCCGACGGGTTCCGTTTGACCCCAGCAAAGAAGTCGGGGAACTTCGTCATGTACTCCAAGATCAAGTGGACAGCGGCGGGGCTAAACTCCCAGCCAGTTTGAGACTTGCGAGAGTAGCCCAGCACCTTCTGCTTCCTGGCCTCGAACTTGAGGTTGAGCCCAAGGTTGACGCGGAGATCGCCAACCGTCCGGATAAAGTACGATGAGGTGATCTTGCTAAGGGTAAGGGGATGCAGGTCCAATTGCTTGGCCACCATGTAAGAAGGCATATAATGCATCCCCTTTTGAGCATCGTGGATGATCCTCTTGGCGAAGTCTGGCTCACGCTTTTCTAAGACCGCAAGCCAGATGCTGACTTTCCCGGCCGTGTAGCCCACAACCTCCAAAGGCTGGCCGTAGTTATAATCGCCCAGGAAGAAGCCGACTGACTTGAGAGGAAATTCCTCCTCGACAGGGAGAGCGGCCTTCTCAATGAAACGCTCATCCTCGTTGACAACTTCGTCCACAATGATCTGAGAGGCGTACTCGGTCTCCATGCCAGGAATCTCCCCGTACTCTTTCACGGTGGCGCCCTCATCGGTCTTGACGAGGCCCTTGAGCATGTGGACAGAAACCAGCGACTCAACAGGACCAATCTGGATTCCCAGCCGCTTGCTGTAAAAGTTCTCGATTCTGTCTGCCTTCTTGGACCAGTCCTCGATTTCGCGAGGCGTATGGTTCCTGGGGACAACCTGCCCACTGCCATCTTCGGCAAGGGTGTAATCGAAGAGCTCGTCCGAGACTTTGATGATCTTGGCCTCCTGCAAGAAAGGGTAGCCAACGAAGCAGCGTTGGCCGAGCTTGACTTTAGCCGACTCCACATTGGTCCGCATCTCTGTTTCTAGGAGGTTGACGATCATGCTCTCGTTCCGGCTCTCTTGCTGGAAGACGTTGACCCCATGGAAGCCAAGGCTAGCGACGTACGGCAACGTCGCCAGGCTAGGAAACCCGGCCAGAGCCTCAATATTGAGCAGGGCGCCGTCTGTGAGACCAGCGCGGTACTCCAGCCCTTCCACAGCAGGGAGATCAAATATGTTCTCCACGCAGTGACAATGGGTAATGGGTGGAAAGACGTCCACGAGAGAAGACGGATAGACAAAGTCTATATCCCCAGAGTAGGTGAATTTGAGAGCAACTCCGAAGTCGTTGCGTGCCTTTTCGGCGTCGGAGAGAAGGGCATCCTTGGGAGCCATGGCCGATAGCAAGCGCTTCTCTTCAATGAAGGGAATCTTGATAACAGCTTCCCAGTCCATCTTCTTGCCGTTCATGTCCAGCTCGAAATCTCTGGGATAGAAATCGATGATGGGCGACTTGGGGTCCGTCATAAGCTCCCAGTACACTTTGGGGACGATCTTTTTACTGCGATCCGGAAGGACGCCCATGAGCTGCTCGTTGGGCCTGAAAGGCTGACCCAACTTGAAGTTGAGATCCGCATTCAGCCCTTTCACGACGTCCGAGATCATGGGAGAGTAGTGGTAGGCGTAGAACCAGGGCCACGAGGCGATACCGCGGTAATAGTAGTAGAGGACCCACTGCAGACCTTGGACGTAGTTCTCAGTCAGCTTCCGAAGCTCCTCTTCCCTGTTGTCCGGAGTCCAGTCCTCAAATTTCTGATCGTAGTATTCGTCCTTCCATTCCTGGAACTTCTCTTTGTACTTGGCCTCCATAGCAGCCTGGGCATCAGCCGAAGTGAGATCAAGGGTCTGGGCATTGTCGTATCTCTTGACGATTCGTAGCACCGCTGACTGGGCTTCCTCGTCCTCTTCGTCCTCTTCGTCTCCAGCGGGGTAAGACAGAATCAAGTGGCGATGGCCCTCGTCATCCGGTTTGGTGGCCCACTCCAAATGCGCGGCTTCGGCGAGATCCTGGACAAACTTGCGGTCTGCGGCGTTGAGCCCCGCGCCAAGATCCAAGGTTCGAGATCCGCGGTTGGTGAGAAACTTGCGAATGGTCCGCTTCCAAAGAGCCTTCTGCTCAGAGCTGACGATGAGCTTTCCCTTGGCCTTTGCTCTCAGCTTCTCGGTCTCATCATTCTCGAGCATCCGTTTTCCTCGCAGCCAGCTCTCGTCCTCGTTCTCGTGTTCGAAAAACCGGTACTCCTCTTTTCCAAGCTCATCTAACAGGCGGCTAAGCCTTTGGAGATTGACCTTCCCGTTCTCGTTGATGTAACCATCGCATTTGGGGAGGACAGATTTGTATATCCTAAACATGGTCGCCAAGGCGCCCTCGTTGATGTGAAGGTGAGGGAGGTTGGGGAGAAAGTCGTTGCCGACAAAGAAGGCCATGAGGATGAAGTCATCAATGACCTTCTCCATATCAAACGGAAACGACATGGCTCCTTCCTTCTTGAGATCTTGAAACTCAAGCTCAAGATACTCTCGGACAATGCAGAGGTGCATCAGATAGAAGTTCTGATGTTCCAGCTCTTTCGACTTGTGTTTTGCTTGGCGGCCGAACGTTACCTCCTCGCGGAGAAGGCAGAAGTGCGGGTCGTGGCTCAGTAGTCCCAACATGATGAGATCGGCATCTAGCCCGTACAAGCAATGTCGGACATTGGGGTTGTACTCGGGCTGGGCGCGCGCATTCCGGATGTATTCCATAATCTTGTGCTCGCCCTCGCCCGGCACCTCGTGGCCAGAGAGCACAATTTCGGGTTGTTGCCAGTCCCTGTCCTCTGATACTTTCTTGTTGATGAAGTACTTGAGCTGTTGCGTTAACTTGGCCATAAACTCGGTTCCTGCAGTCAACTAATTAGCGCCTGGTGCAAGTTCAAGATATTAGTGAGGGGGGTAGGCATACCAGGTGTAATGCAGTTGCTGTCGAACGGTTCCTCTTTGGGCAGCTCCTTTCCCTCCTTGATGGCCTTGTCGCGCGCTTTTTCGGCCTCTAGGGCGGTCCGGAAACGGCGGGCACGTTGTTGGTTCATCTTTGCGCGCGGGGCCACGCCATCGATGGCCATGAAAAACAACTTCTTGGGCTTGATCTTGCCAAAAAGATGTTCTATGTAGTTGAATATGGCGATGAACATCTCCTCCTCGCTGAGGCGAAACTGCACGTCATCCGAGTCCTTGTGTGTACAATTGTGGATGATACCATTCATGTCCAGCTACGCAAATCGGTCAGAAACTGTGGAAGAGGGAAATCGCCGATGGCGTCGGAGGCCAGGAAGTTCACGCACGTAGAGACAGTCGAACTCGGGAATCCGGTTCTCGGCGATGAGCTGCGAGATGGCAGGATAGCGCTCCGAGAGCCATCTGAAGAACTTCGGAACACTGCGCGGCTTGTTAGCATCCTGGGCGCATCGAGACAATCTCCCCGGAAAATACACACCCCATGATGGCAATAAGGCGCGCGAGATGGCGCTACTTCCAGTTGTCGAAGGAGTAGGTTCTGGGTTGGGAAATTCGGTTTGTCGACGCTGATACCACTAATTTCTTCCGTTTTGGCAGTGGGCCGCGGGGGTACGATAGGGAATCGTAACTGCCTAAGCACTTCCAAGTTGTAGATGAAGGGATAACACTGAGTAGGATGGCTGCCGGCGCTGAATAAAAATGGCCGGGCTTTCTGAAACTGGGAGAATGCAGCAAGCGGCGAAATAAAGCAGTACAAAAAGACAAACGTTTTGGGACCTGCAAACCAAAGAACAGTACGCCCCGGGTTGACCTTCTCGTCTATAACAGCGGCCGCTGTGAAAACAACAATGCGGCGAGGAAGCGGCGGTAGAATACCGAAAGGGAGATGTTTGCGATCAGCTGTCGCTGGTGGTTCTAGGTGCTTTTGCCCAAAGCTGCATGGGGAACTGGGAGTGAGGCCGGTGACTACTGGCCGATTGCCCCACCCATTTTCAGCCCCACCACGCCACCACCACCGTCGACTGGAGCCCCAGACAGCCAGTGAGGCTCTCGGCGATTAAATGGTCTGTGCGTTCCTACCATATCCCACTAATCCTACTTCGGTAAGGTGCGCTCTGCTGAGTGCTGGCACGGCAGGCAAGCTCAATCAATTAACGAAAGATCACGTCGCGTCCTCTGAATCGCGCTTCTTGCAAAGAGCAAACGCCCGACTTCAGATCTCAGCCACATTTCGATATTCCATTCCCGCCTTTCACAACCATTCTACAAACAAATCAAATTCTGGCCAGAAAGAGCCCCGAAATAAAATAATTTCAATCTTCCGCGAACTATCGGTTAATCTACGATGGCTCCCAACGAAGTTGTGGATGACGTTGATGGTATTCTTCCAAATTCTCCATTCAGTGAAGACGGCAAGATTCTAATTGCGCACGCAGTCAGCATGGACGACCAGGACGATGCCCACATGGAGAATAGGCTCATCAATGAGGGTACGTGTCCGTATCAGATCTTATTAACTAGGCACTCGCTAATATTAGCTAGAGTACAAAACATGGAAAAAGAACAGCCCGTTTCTCTACGACATGATTCTAAGGTAGGAAAGGCCGAACCGATTACGTCAAGTCGAGTCAAGCTAACCTGCATTCAAAGCACGGCGCTAGAGTGGCCGACGCTCACCACGCAGTGGTTCCCAGATGTCAAGGACGTGAATGATAAGAATTGCACAGTCCACAGACTACTCATCGGAACCCACACTGCGGAGGGCAAGCCCAACTATCTGCAGATTGCTGAACTCGAGCTGCCCAAATTTACCGACCCTAACCCTCGCGACTATGACGAGGAGCGTGGCGAGATCGGTGGCTATGGTGGTAAGGGGTCCTCGGGGGAGCCTGCTGTGATCAAGTTCAACATCACCCAAAAGATTGATCACCCCGGTGAGGTCAACAAGGCACGGTATCAGCCGCAGAACCCCGACATTATCGCCACCCTTGCTGTAGACGGCAAGGTCTTGATCTTTGACCGCACGAAGCATAGCTTGACACCCACGGGCACGCCGAATCCCCAAATCGAACTCATCGGCCATAAGGAGGAAGGTTTTGGGCTGAGTTGGAACCCCCACGAGGCGGGGTGCCTAGCAACCGGTAGTGAAGACAAGACAGTGCTGCTTTGGTATGTAAAGCCTCGTTTGCTCTCGAGCGGGTAGCAACTAACACGGGGGCAGGGACCTTAACACGATTCAGGGGAATGGTAAGACCCTCAAGCCGTCGCGCAAGTACACACACCACAACCACATCGTCAATGACGTGCAGTACCACCCCATGGTCAAGCACTGGATCGGCACGGTGTCAGACGACCTGACACTCCAAATCATTGACGTGCGGCGTTCCGATACCACGAAGGCGGCCGTCGTGGCCCGTGACGGCCATAGCGATGCGATCAACGCGCTATCATTCAACCCGAGGACTGAGTTTCTAATCGCCACAGCGTCGGCTGACAAGACGATCGGTATCTGGGATATGAGGAACCTTAAACAGAAGATCCATACGCTCGAGGGACATGTCGATGCGGTGACTTCGCTCTCGTGGCACCCGACCGAGATCAGCATCCTAGGCAGCGGGGGTTACGACAGGCGGGTCCTCTTCTGGGATCTTAGCCGTGCGGGTGAGGAACAACTGCCAGAGGACCAAGACGACGGTCCGCCGGAGCTGCTCTTTATGCACGGCGGACACACCAACCACCTAGCCGATTTTAGCTGGAACCTCAACGACCGTTGGCTGGTGTGCAGCGCCGCCGAAGACAACCTACTCCAAATCTGGAAAGCCGCGGATGCCATCGTCAACCAGGACGACATCGAGATGCCGATGAACGAAATGGACGCGTCCAATTAGAAGGGGGATGAAAATCCGGGGTTGCAGCGGACAGGAGGCCAAGGTGCCAGTTCGAGGCCAGCCGGCGCTTCGAAGCCGTCGGGCTTTGTCAGTCCGGACTCCTCGCTGAGGCCCGAAGAAGCGGATTCTAGGTCTAAGTCCGAGGCAACCGTGGAGACGTCTAGAAGACAAGAGCAGCAAAAAGCATTTGTAATTACCAGAAAGGAATGGGCCAGATGGATTGCTTTGGACAAGGGGAAGAAAGTAGACAAGGAGAAGAGAGTGGATAAGGAGAAGAGAGTGGACAAGGAGAAGGAGATGGGCAAGGAAAACGAGGAGAGGGAGGAGGAAATGGAGAGGGAGAAGGAAATGGAAAGCGAGAAGAAAGAGGAGAGGGAGAAGGAAATGGAAAGGGAGAAGCAAGAGGAGAGGAAGAAGGAAATGGAAAAGGAAAAGAAAGAGGAGAGGGAGAAGGTGGGGAAGCAGAGGAAGAAGGAAAGGGAGCCGGAGCCGCAGCTAGCGAATGTAACGACGAGAAGGGCATGGGCCAGAATGATTGCATGCCCTGCTCCGGTGGACGAAGAGGAAGAGAAGGATCAAGAGAGGGAGGAAGAGACCCGGGAGGGTAAGGGGAAGGGAAAATGGAGGTGAATGGAGAAAGAGAAAACGGAAGCCTCGATGACGCAACAGGGCAGATGGTGAGAAGACAGTCGCCAGAGTAACGCTGCTACTGGAAAGGAACTATTCGATAAAGGCAAGGGCCATGGCAGCTAGTGTAGTTGTATTTTGTTTGTGTAAGCTCAGCAGTTTTCTATGTTTTTTCCTGGAGAGCTACTATGATTATGCCTAGAGGGAGATAACCAATGCAGATTCATCAGCAGTTGTTGCTAACTAACATATGCAGACTTGGGAACAAACAATAAGAAGGGCGGGCTACCTAGTGGCAGAGTAGGTACATGTACATTAAGCAAGCAAACCGTATGACAATCAAAAACGGGCATGTGGTTTCATCTGATCATATTGTGGTTGGTGGCCGAATGATTGGTATTGTTCTTTTTACGGTGTTGTACGAAGTATTGTTGCTGCTATTGTTGACTGACAGACAATAGAAGAAGCGCAACAATATCAACAGCCGTCCTTGCTAATTCTTCAATGACCATCACATATGGCCATCACCAGCAACCAGACAACGGCGGCCATCTCAGTTACATTAACTCGAGCCCACATGGATTCTCAACTTCTCCCGAATTTTTCTTTTTTATTTTCTCCGTGGATTGTGTCATCGGTTAGTTGCCTCACATCGACACATTCTCACTTCTCTACGGACTCAATCGCAGCATACGAGCTCCAATTCCATTCCATCCATTTCTTTGAACTAGTTCAATTTTACAAGACTTTGTCAAAATGTCAGCGTCCTCGGGAAATGGCACCGCTGTTAGCGTAGAAGCTGCTCGGCGTCGACTTGCCCTCGCTCAAGCTGCCCGCGCAAATGCGACTCGCGAAGAGATCGAGGCCAGAGGCATCAGGCCCAATGTACAACAAATCGTCCATCATATGAACAGAACGCCCTCTCATTCGTTTAAGCGGGTCAGACTCAATCACTCGGCACGCAAAATTTATGAGGATGAAGATGGGGAGGAGGGCGAGGATACGGAGAATGACTGTAACACCGGGGGGACGGAAGAGGACGACGAGAAAGAATTTGAGCAAAGATGGCAGGCTTTGCTCGCCGAAAGTGGTCTACAAAAAGCCGACATGTTTGTCCTCGCCGAGTTTCGCCAGATCGCCCGACAGCGCATCCACATGATGAAGCAGGCCACTACCAAGTGGCATGCACTGAGTCGACCTCCAAAGAAGGACCGTTTCGACCTGCTCGCCTCTCTGTGTAGCTGCACCGAACTCATCGTCGAGGTGTGCAAGCACATGCGGCCATTAGACATCGTCCACCTTTACAGCGTCAGCAAAAACTTCCACTACACCATCAACGAACACATGCGCAGCAGCATCTTCGCGTGGGCGAGCCACATGGCGCCCACCGCCGCGCGCATCTACTCCAGCCCCGTCTATTGCCGCTGGTTTATTCCAGATCCTTGCCGTCGTCGCGTGACAGCTAACGATCAGGAGATGAGCAAAACCCAGCCGGGGCAGGCGAAGGTCGAGGGCCAACTACCCCTAAACGGCAACGAGGGCGAGATACGGTTGATTCCTGGCCTGCTCTGGTTACAGATGACTGTAAACCGTGAAATCCGAGTCCGGGACATTATCGCCTGTCTAGCGCGGAGGGGCCATCGCCTACCCGAGGGCTCCCATCAGACCCTCAAGAAGATTTGGCTCATCATGGACGCTGCGACAACCCAGGCACGCATGATGCTGCTAAACAACCCGGACTTCTTCAGCAACGAGGATCTCTACATCGCCCAACTCTTTATGGTCAAGCTGATTCTCGCCTTTAACGACCCCGTTTTCGGCCCACAGTCGAGTATGCTCATGCGTCTGATGCTGGGACAACGCGGCCTGTCACCCCTCTGGGCTCTTCTACGCGGCCTAAAATACCGTACGGCAGCAGAGATCCGTCAGCTCAAGCTCCGCTACGACGTAGGCCCCGATCAGCTTCAGGACGAAAATCTTCCGGCGGTGTATGGTGTAGATATCGACCGGCTAGGTGTCATCCACTTTGAAGGATGGGGCACCGGGCCGGACCACTTGATGCGCCCCGATGAGTTGATACCACTCGAGTCTGCCCGCCGCCAACTCGATCTCGATGTCTGCGTGGAAGAGATGATGATCTATGGGCATGTCGATTTCAACACGGGCAACAGCCTGGTGCCGAGTCTCGAGGAGATGTACATGAGCGACGATGACCTGCCGCCAGCGTGTAAGGGGTGGACGCCGCTGAAACACGAGCTCATCCATTCCGGCTGTGGCAACGTTCCGTTTGAGCAGGGCATGTGGCAGCCCAAACACGCCCGCAAGGCGCGGTGGAAGACGCTGACAGAAAAAGAAAAGGCGATGATACTAGAGGCGGAACAAGAGGAGATGGACGAGGCCAAAGAGCTTGACGGCGCACGATGGAAACAAGGACATAGCCTGGGCCAAACTAGCCAAGCTAAC